CCAAAATCCCAATGATATAAATTCAGGTGAGGAAAATTCTCCCTTCAAAAAGAAATTTTAATTTTGCCAAAGCATACTCTCATAGAAGAGGCTGCCAGGCAACTACTCTCAAAGATCATCATCTCTGTCACTATATCTTTAGTGCATGTCAAGTTCATAAGTAGAGACGCAACCCAACTTATGGATGGCCTGGACCTCCCATGGAAGCAGCAGCACTGGCTTTGAGGGTTCCATCTCATCGCAATACCTGTAAGCTGGAACACTCCAGGGGCCTGGCCGGTAGAGGGGATCCAACTGTCTGCGACTGTGCTCGCTGCAAGTGTAGTCGTGAGCCATGTTAAGTTGATGGCCGAAGTTGTCCAACACGTCATCGCTAGAGCTGAACTCCCGTCTGTAGTAGTTTTGCGAAATCTTTTGCAACAAAACTTGCATCTTGTTTGCAGGTTATCCACCTCCTACGAGAATCTTTTTCCAGCTGGCATCAGAAAAGAGCACCAGAGAGGTGGTGTGGCTGTTGTAAACCAGCTTGAGCCGATCCGCAGCTGTGGCATTCCACGGACAAATCGGCTCGCCCTACGAGAAAACATCTCCGAAAAGCCCTAAACCTAGGTCTAAATTAAAATGCCACTGTGCCACGTGAGCGTCCAAGTCTTTTTATATCAATTTCCAGATGAAATAAAAGTTTTGCCACCACCCCCGACCGGCAAATGCAAATTGCCGGCCGGCACCCAAAAAGCTGACACGTAAGCCATCCTAGGGCTCTAGTGTGACAGAGTATGATCTCTACGGAGAGGAGATAGTCCTTGTTTTTTAGGAAATGCCCCTTTTGGAGCGTGCATAGATCTCTGCGCTGAATCGATGCCGCCCGGCCAGCTGCCGAGCTCCACGAATCTGGTGGCCGTGCGACGAAAATCTCGCTCCTGGCTCTGTAGGTCGGAGGGATTTTGCGCGCGCGCGGCGATGGCGTCCTAGATGAAGCGATTCCAGCAGCAACATTCCGCGCTGTGTGCATTGTGCCGGAGATTCTCCCGGGGAGGATGTCCGAGGCGCGAGATTTGAGGATTTCCTCTTGGCCGGGGAGGGGAGAGAGCGGCGGGGCGGCAGCTATGAGGTCGGGTTCCATCCGGAGGAGAGATGTGGCAAAGAAGCGGCAGCATCAGCAGCACCAGCAGGAAGAGATGGAAGAATCGGTAGTGGCGGCAGCGCATCGTCACGGATCGGAGGCTACTTGCGAGCCGCTTGGCATTTTCTACTGCCCGTGGCAAACGAGCGTCGTAAGTTCGCGAGATTTCTTCCTTGTTTTTTTTATCGCGTGATTGATTGTTTTGTCTCTCTGGGAGCCTTGTTAGAACAGTGTGGCGTTTTGACTTTAGCAATTTTTCCTGGCAGGATTTTAATGCTTGACTTGTGCGCGCTAGCTCATTCATTCACTCGTTTCATTCATCAATCCCTTCTCCTCTATTCTTTTGCTTCTCGTAGATTGATGATGACGACGATGAGTGGAGAGAACGGCGGAGACGCGAAGAACAGGCATGGACACAGATCTTTTCCAAGATAATTGTGCAATGGGGGCATTGGTTCTGTAAGTGGAAGAACTTCTTTTGTCGTTCGCTTTTATTCCATCTCGCTTTCTCTCTTTGGATTCTCGTGTTTAACTTTGTTCTTGCTTATCGTGCTTTGATGCAGCTCATATCGTTGCTGGATCAGGTGCGTGGGTGGGTAGTGTTCTCCATCGTGTTGTGACGCGCCGGCATGACAATGGGGCCAAAATCGCAGACTACGATTTGACGCCCATTCAGGTTCGCTGTCGTTTTGTTCTTAGGAAAAGTTCTTCCATCCATCCATTAAGCTTGCCTAGATCAACAGGAAGAGAGGCTGCACAAACTTCAACAGCGATTGGAAGTGCCATTCGATGGAACGCGTTCGGAGCACCAGGTACACGTTTGTTTCATCTGAGCGGAGCAGAGTTGACTCGAGCGATCGGCCTCCTTTTCCAAGCAACGCATTTCTCTCGTGTGTCCAGGAAGCTCTGATGAGCCTATGGCGATTCGCCTTTCCTGGGTGCGAGCTACGGAGCCTCGTAACGGAGAAGTGGAAAGAGATGGGATGGCAAGGCTCGGATCCCTCCACAGACTTTCGGTAAGTAGGAGAGAGTTTTTTCTCTTTAGTTTTTTCTTGTGCTTTGAACGGGGGCATTTGCTGGCTGTAGGGGTGGCGGTTTCGTGTCTCTCGAGAACCTACTCTTCCTCGCCGAGAAGTATCCTGTACGTAAGCGTGCCTGTGCTTTGAGCGCGACCTCTTATCTTTTGCGCTGTTTTGCCAGAAATCTTTCCACAGACTCCTCCACAAGGAGGGCGGCAAGAGAGCTGTATGGGAGTACCCCTTTGCGGTGGCGGGCATCAACGTCTCGTTCATGCTAATCCAGATGTTGGACCTACGCTCAGGTTTGGTAGCATTATGAAAAAAGGATTTCCGGATGTTTACTTGTCAACCTCTCTCTCCACTTCCCGTGTCTCTCCAGCGAAGCCGAGCTCGACATCCGGCCTCAACTTTTTAAAACTCCTGGCGGGTACGTGGTCGTGCTTTCTGTATTCTACACATCTTTTAGCTTAGCAATCCTTTTCTTTCGTGCTTTGCAGAGGACGAGACCGCTTTTGACATCTTGTACTGTATAGCTTTCGAGATGATGGACTACGAATGGCTTGCGATGCATGCGACCTACATGGAATTCAACGTAAGTTCACGGCCTTTGTTTCGTTCTTCGCGATTGATGGCGGTGTGTTCTTCCAGGCCGTGCTCACAATCACTCGGCAAAGACTAGAGCGCGAGCTCTCGCTCAAAGAGGTCACATACGTCAAGGACTTACCAGCCTACACACTCTTGTGCCAGTAGACACACACACTCCTGACTTGGAAACCGAAAAACCTGTTAACCATTGTACAAAGATACCGATCCTGACCAACCAATTCGAGGAAGAAGACTTGCTTCATTACCAAAGAATGCACCAATATGATCAATATATAATAGTATACCAAAGGTTCATCATCAATAGTAAGCTATCCGGGGTGGGGGATTTGAAGAGCAAAACTGGGTTGTTTCTTTCGTCTCGCCATGAAAAGAATGCTTTTAGGCGGTGGGAAGTGGTAGCGGCGTGGTTAGCTCCTCGGGAGCTTTCGAAACTCCTCCAGTGGTCGGCCTGGGATGGAAGAGCACGAGAGAGGAGATTTGAGAACTTCCCACAAGGAGAGAAATAGCAAGAAACTTACAGTCCAACGAAGACTTTGAAGGCGTCGTAGATTACCCACTGCGCTCCAGTGAGAGTTCCAATCATCACGATACGCAGCGGTAGCCCCCGGGTGACGAGAGCCACCAGGCCCATGCTCTTGACGGCCTGGAGCAAAATAAAACGAGCATTTAGCCTAATAAGCGCGAGAAACACCACCGAAACAAGGATACATACTTGGCCAACGGTGGCGTCCTTGGTATTGTTGAGGAACGAGACAAGGTTGTCAGCAGGGTGCGAGACGAGAGCGCAAAAAATTCCAGCAATGTAACCGCCAGCAAAACTAACACCCAGCTGCTCCACATTGCTACACTCGTCCTTGGGCTTGGGAACAACGTTCTTGTAAAGCGCCTCGACTGTGGCCTCAAAGCATGTAAACTTCATCATCGTGTCTGCCATAAACGACAACCCAATCAGTGAAACCATTTCTTTCGCCGTGTTTGCGTCCGAGAGTTGGATAGCTTACATGGAATTTGGCGTCCCCAGAGAGGTACCAGTCCTCTGTAAAGTCTGAGCACAGAAATACCAAGTGTCAAAAAGGAAAAGAGCGAAGACAAGAACAATACCCAGCAACGCCCTCAGCCCTCGTGATTTTCGGCAGTCCATCGAGCAGCCCATTAGCGAATCCGGGCTTGGTTTGGACCCGGACCTTGACGGCCTCCATCGGGCACAGCGCAATATCGGCGAAGAACTCGGACGAGAAAGATCCGGCCAAGTAAATGAAAGTCTTGTACTTGTACGCATTCTCGGCTCCGGCCAGGTCCGAGTAGTACTTTTTGAAGAACTCGTAGAGCCCATACTTGAAAGCTCCCTGCGCACTGTATCCGAACAGCGTCGGAACCCATCCCTTGAACAAACCTTTGGGGCCAGCCTCGCGATACAAAGTCCCAAATCCACTGGCGGTAGATTTATACTTGGCGGGATCAATCTGACCAAAGAATCGATCGATCAGCCACACACCTCAAGAAGAAACTCGAGCTTACCTGCATATTACACTTGACCACGTCCAAGGGCGTCACGGCCGTGTGCGTGAGGCCGCAGCATAGAGCCCCCCCGACAGTGCACGCCGCGTAGAATTCCGGCGAGTACATCGCGATCTTTCTCGTCTCGTCTGGGGATGGGATGAGAAACCTGGAAGATTGGCCATTGATCGGAATGGCAGGAGCTGGCGCCTTGAATCCCTTGCTCTTGTACAGGAATGATGGCAGCGTACTGGATCGACTGTCTTCAAGCGCCATTGTGTGTATTGGAACATTTCCGGATTTCCGCACCATTTAAACCAATACGACACTGTGGCCATCGCGGAGACGTGGGAGGACCAACAATGCCACGCTTCAGACTACCCAGGATGGCAACACAGCGCGTGCAACTGGAAGACAATAACGGCGGCTTATGTCCGCGAGAAACTGAGAAACAAGCAATAAAAAATTAATTGGTATCAATTGACATCTGAAATAATTAATAATAATATAAACGACGCTGTTGAAGCAAGCGCAAATCGTCGCTGAAAGGTTTGATTGGTTCCCTCAGGAGGCCGCCGCCGACGTGTTGGAGGCCCGAGCGCTGTGTGAATACATCGAGCTAGTGCGCTACTTCTTCTATTCGCCTATTAACGACCACTCTCTCTTTGTGTTTGTGTCAATCCTTTACCTGGCAAGCCTGCCCCCCGAGGAGCGTGAAGGGCTCCAAAGATCCCTTCCGCTGGTTTCTCAGGTCGGTTGTGATCTTGTGGTGGAGTTTGCTGGGGAGCTAATTGAGAGGCCGCTGCAGAAGTTTTGGGAGCGCTTTTGTGGGAGGAAAGGCGTGCGCGTCGTCGAGGATGCTGTTTGTCGACCGGGCAGTCTTGACATGGCGGTGTGGCCCCTCGAGCCTCTACGTCCCCCACCGGATCTATACTTTGGTAATATCATGCTTTCATCCATGGATGCTTCTTTGTTTTTCCAGGACGGCAGGAAGGATGCAGCGAAGTTTTTACCCGAGTGCTGTGCTAACGCGTCCATTTGTTACTAACAGGGAAGGCTCAAAACTCCACCGAACTTGGTGTTCCCAACATCTTGGACCTTGTCTGCAGGCTGACGGAGAGTGACTACTTGTTCTACTTGCCAGTGAAGAACCTGGGATGGAACTTGGGGTGCTTGCACACGGACAAAAGACTTGGTAGAGGAGGAATACTCAATACTTGAAGGTGACAGGAACGCCTTGCCTGGAGTGTCACGAACGTTCCCGGACGAGGAATTTCCAGTGTCACCATTCCGTGTAATCGAGGCCAGGCTGCTGTTGCGCGGGATCCGGTCCAACCGGCTCCTGAGCTCACTGGTGCTGCACCGCCCGCCAAACTCAGCACTCCCGCACTACTACACGATTGTCAATGCCAGCGCTCACGCGCGTCTCTGGCTCGGCCGCTACGACCTCCGGGTCTACTACGATCACAGCTTGACATGGAAGTTAACATGCGCTCGCTTCTCGCTCGTTATAACTGCTTCCTGATCGTTTCTAGACGGTGAGATGTGTACCCCTGGAGCTGCTTTGGCCGAACAAGAGGTAGGCTTTTATACTTCTCCACATTCCAGCTATGGAAACACCGTGTACTTATATTCAGGCTCTGAGCGATGGTTTCATGGTGGAGCGCCAGCCGTCGTTAGTGGAGGTTAAACTGCGACTGTACATTAGACCTGATGTGGTACGTACGTACGTCGTGTGTTGTCTTGTAGAGTTTCTTGCGCTTACTTAGGGGGAGCGATCCTGGCAAGCTACACCACATGCATCCCGAGGATTACGAGCCACTGCTGTGGCGCAGGATGAGAAGCTGTGGAAGGCGCTCCAGCAGCTGGGGTATCCTATGGTGGCTAACCCATCGTATTCAGCGCTGCTTGCCCAGTGCTGTGTGTTTAATGTGTGCGTTATGCTTCTGCCGCTGGACCCCAAGGTCAAGCTTAAGGATCTGTTCAAGCACGGCGTGCCTGAGCTCTATGAAAAGCTGGAGGATGACGACACCATTGACAAGCTAAGGCATAAGACATGGGAAGCTTATGAACCGAGCCACAGTCGGTCATCAACAAGACATAAGACTTAGGAAACTTATGAACCCTTGTGTTTGTGTGACGTTATCTTCCTAGAGCCGGAGCGCAATGGCATTTAAACCATCGAGGAAGATAAATCCCACAGCATTGAGGGAGATGACACTATCTAAAGCATTTCCTCACACAAGCCTGAGTGTGAGTCCGTTGCTGTTCAAAGAACTTCGTCACCAACACATTCTAAGCACCGGATTCTTTCAGCTCCGAATGCTCGTTGCTCGTCTTGCAAATCCGAACGAGCGACGCGAGGATGCACATTTTGATACCTCTGCAAGCACGACATGGTCGTTTCATCCGCGAAGATCAAGGAGAGAGCGGTGGATCACCGGTAATTCCCGTGCTCCTCCCACAGCCTCCGCATCACGGTTAAACTTTGCACGTAGCGTTTACGGCTGATGCTGGAGGGAATGGCGTCCATGTCCACTGGTCTGGACGACGGTAAGGTACATATGATCCTCGGATTTTTTGCGTGTCAGATTTGGGATGCTGAATATATTGATCCACAACACTTTTAGGATGCTTCTTAACCATGAAAAAAACATCTGAATCTAGCAAATATATATAAATTTCTTTTCAACAATCGTGGTTTGCAGACTATTCCTAATTTCACTAGATTATAATTTTTCTTTGGTGTGTTCTTTATATATTATTTTTAATTTAATCTTTTTATAGTTGTTGTAGTACGTTGCCTTTGTTCTTGATAATCCATGTTGAAGTCACCCAAAAAAACATATCCTTCGTGATCTGTTGGTATAATTTGATCTATATGTTGATAAAAATTCTTTATATATGTATTTGGATTTCCACTTGTGTTTTAAGCATTTACTTATTATACATGTCATTGTATTAAATTTCTTCAATAAAGTAGTTTCTATATCATAGTATTTTCAGTTTATCTTCAATATATAATACAATAGATGTTGTAATTAAAATTTATATACTTGTGTATGTTTTAGTTTCAATTAGTTTTCAAGGTTGGTTAATTTAAGTAGGAGCTAAAGAATATACTTAGAGTATATAAACATGTTTTAGGATATTCTATCATATTTTTAAAAATATAATTTTATTCTTAAAATTGTTTTTAATCCATTTGAGGTTTTTATACAAATATTAGTTTTTACTTACATTTATATAGTAAATTTTAAGCTAGCCTAAGCTACTTAGAATTAGATGGCAATAGAGCAAATTATGTTATCTGCTAGCTCTAGCACTAGTAATAGTTTAAATGTAATTCTCATGAGTCTAATAAGAAATTCAGGTGAAGTGTAATCAATTAGTAGCTTACTCAAGATGGATGTAAAGGCTTAAAATTTAATAAAATTTGTATAAAATCCTAAGCATATAAAAATATAAATGATTATGAGCTACATACATAACAAGAAAATAATAATAACTATATAATACTGCTTATTTTTAAGTTTGTATTGAAGCTTCAACCAAAATCAAACTAAGCATTGCTGCTAATTTAATTATTATTTTATTTTATGTATGTTATACATAATTGATATGTTTGTTGTTAATGATTTTACTAAATTAATTTTTTTCCATGTTTTATACTCTATTAGTAACTCTTGATAAAGCTATGTAAGCACATATATGTATCTTTATTCTATCATTGTTGTTCTTTAAGCTTTATATTGTTCTTACTAGTGTTAATTGTTTTAGAAATTAAGTTCTTGAAATTGAATAATTCATATTTTTGTATTTTTTCTAAATATTTTGTATGCTTTAGTTATAATAATTTGTTTTGGTAATTATAAAAGCACTCAACCTTGTATATAGTTTTTTAATTCTTCTATTATTAATTCATCTAGATTATTTATATTTGAATTCTATTTTTAGTTTCATATATTGTATAATCATTTGGTTTGGTGGGGATGTATAATTGAGTAAATATCATGGCTTTTGATTATTATATATTTTTGAATTTAATGTAACTGTATTTTCATTGTGCTCTTGTACTTTTTTATTTGTTTCGATATATGGATGTTTGTATGCAATTTCTAATGATTTAACTTAATGGTTTAAAAGTTATTTATCTTTATCACTTTGAGTAACTGTTCTTATTTTATAAACCTAAACCCTAAACCCTAAAACCCTTGTTTATCTTTTTTTTCATATCAATTGAAATATATTCCAAAAATTGTGAATGCATGGAATATGGAAAGGGAATACAGAAAATGTGCATATTAGTTAGCCCAAAAACCCTAGCTTATATATAGGAGTGTGTGGTCCAAATTAAAACCAATTTAACAGTTACAAAAATCCAACTATGATAATATTAGTATACAGCATCGTAGCCACACATTTGGACCTCACATCATCCCCTCCTCTCGGAATAATGGAAGATCATTAAGATTCTCTTCTAAGTGGGCCGGGATCTGGAGGAACATTAAGATGAGGCATTAGTGGATCTGTAGGTGGTATTAGTTGTTCTTGATCCTTTCGTATGAAGTGTTTTAACTATTGCATATGTACAATTTCTGGAGGATCGGCTTATTGGATGTCATGCTGAACCTTATAAATTTATGGTCTAACTTGCCACAACACCTGATATAGTCCTTTCTATTGAGCAAGGAGCCCTTTAAAAAACTATATATCATAAGATGGGGAAAACAGACTAACATCAAGTCATCCAATTTGTACTTTGTAGATGGATGATGATAGGAGTGTGAGACACAAAATCCCTAGGCCCCAAAGTGGAGCTGGAAAGGGTGCCACGTGGTAGTGGCCGCAGCGAAAGCCAAACGAGTGTAACACATTTGGACTAAAAGCTTTGACTTGGAAGGTCGAGAGCGGGAGTGGAACTCCCAACAAAGTGCTCAAGGAATGAGCACAAAGCGAGCAATAAGCAAGGCTCCAAAAAGGGACCCAAAAAGGACCAACACATGACATGTGGAAGTGTCCGAGATGGAGTCTGAGGTGGACCCGAGTTGGAGTCCGAGATGGACCCGAAGTGGAGTCCGAGATGGACCCGAAGTGGAGTCTGATATGGAGTCCAAGATGGAGTCCGATATGGAGTCCGAGATGGATCTGAGATGGACCCGAAGTGGAGTCCGAGATGGAGTCTGATATGGAGTCCGAGATGGATCCGAGATGGACCCGAAGTGGAGTCCGAGATGGAGTCCGAGATGGAACCGAGACCGAGTCCGAGTCCAAATTCGGGACCGAGACCGAGTCTGAGTTCGAGTCCGAGTCTGAATACTAATACAGGCAGTTGGGTGAAAGCCTAAAGCGATCGTCCCCTAAGGAGGGGGGGGGGGGGGGGGGGGGGGGGGGTGGGGGGGGTTCCAAAAGTATAGTAGGGAGAGTGTGGGGGTTGGAGCCCCAGTGGAGTCAATTTGGCCAGGAAAGGCCAGTTTGGCCCAGGAAAGCCAGACCCAGTGTTGGGTGATGAGCTGACCACTGGGAAGTCCAAGGCTAGAGTGAACACGGACCGACAAGTGGGGTAGCTTGGTGAAGTGTTCAAGAGCCGGCTCTAGTTCCCCCAGGAGATCGACTGGCCGATGCTCCCAGTCCAAGTGTGGGTGGCACTACCTACTTGGATACCAGGCGTGTCAATCATGGGATCGGACACGTGGAGCACTTGGACCAAGTGCTAAGGTTGAGTGGCATGGATGCCATTCTCAGGGCTAGCAAGCCCCAAGTCCTGAGTTGGACTTATGGAGGTTGTGAATGAGACTCCTCCAAGTGGTCGGAGGTGTGGTTAAGTGACTAAAGTAGAATGGAAAAATTAGTCGCTTACAACTTGGTATCGGAGCTATTCCTTAGTCCGACTTTTATTGGTGCTCAAGTATATCACCATTGATGTTGGCATTGGAAGGTCCTAGGAGTGGGCCTATCCTTGAGGAGTAGCATGTCGAGAGGACATGGCTCTCCACTCAAGTTCATGCGTGAACTTGGGCACGATGTGGTGGATAGAAAAGGGCTAATAATAGAACGACTTTGGGATCTTGGGAATAGTATAAGGTTTCCTCAGAGAATGTGAGTTGAGGATGTGATCCAGATGAGCGTTTGACGCAGCAAACGGGCTAATGTAGTTGTGGTAAACAACTATAATTGGGATCACGGGAAAGATGTAGACTCCAAAATAATAAAGGAGTCACAAGATTACCCTCATGTAGTTGAGGCCGGTGCTCATAACTTTGAGACCGGAATTGATGACCATGGGAGGTCAAATATAGGAGAGGACACAAGTCCTCGAAATGGTAGCTGAGGTTACCCTTGATAAATGCTGGAACAACCCAAGGAGTTGGGGATGTACTTAGAGGATGAGTTGGTATTCTCATCACATGGGCAAGTGGTCCTAAGAGGCAAAAGGTTGCCCCAAGAGAACAAATCAAGTGTCGGAGTAACACTTGCAAAGATAGTCCTTGTGAGTAGGACCTGAATACAAGAAGTTGTATTCCAGTGAGCTGGCACCTCAAAGGTAGAACCTCATGGGTCGTCGGATGACAAAGTCCAAAAAGCTGGATGACTCCAATAGAGTCAAAGAATAATCTTAAAGGATTGATGGAAGCATTTGGATTGAGGTGTGTTGTACCCCACGAAGGATGGGGGGGGATCATAGGATCCAAGGATGAGAACAGAAGGTATCTCATCGATGGCAAAATGTGCCGTGCTAAAGTCGTGG